GCGTGGCTTGTGGGGGTGTGGCCGTGGTCATCATCGCACCCTGACCGGCTGTTGTTTCCAGCACATGTCTATGGTCTGTGCTAGAGCGGGCGTTTGAGCGGCGGCCGGACGCTGTTCTGCTGCTGGCTAGTGCGTGGCGCTGTGGCGTCGCTGTCGGACAGTACCTCCTGCTCCAGGGTGTTGAAGCGCACGCCCGAGTGCTCCTCGCTCTGCTTGGACCGGCAGCACAGGCACAGGATCCGCTTGAAGGTGTCCCTCATGTCTTTGTCCCGGTACGAGTAGATGATGGGGTTCATTAAGGAGTTGCTCTCGGCCAGAACCAAGAAGAACTTCTCATAGGTCAGAACATCACAGGAGTGGCAGAGCCCGTCCAGCAGCAGCAGCACCATACCTGGAGTCCAGCACACCACGAAACAGCCTAAACACACACATACACACACAAACACCTCATATTTAATTCTATTCAACCCTTAACTTTTCTTTTTCTTGCACCAGAAATAATTATTTTTGAACCATTCCATAAATAAAAAATGTGCAAAAATCATCAGAGTGATATGGAGTGCTCTAAACCTGCCGGAACTACTTTAGCTGTGCCTTTATCTGACAATAACCAAACCCCTGAGAGTGACCATCAGCCAATCAGAGTCCAGCATTCAGCAGAGCTGCGTCGTTATAGGAGTAAACGTTTATTTAGTGCTGAACTGTGCCTTTAACATGTTTTGGCATTGAAGAGTTGCTTTCATATTGTTAATGACGTGTGTAATGATGTAGTAACTTGCTGAAGCCGTGTCAACAGCATGTCAAAACCTGTTAACTCTTCAAGGCCTGTGCTAAACATGCTCGCAACTTGTTAAAACACGACAGAAATGTGGACAAACATGTTAGCACTGCGTCTACTGAAGGATCTGTTTCTCTGGAAGTGTGTGTGTGTGTGTGTGTGCGTGTGTAAATATGTTATCAAGCTGTGTGCTTGAGTGTGTACAGTGTGTGTGAGACTGCTGTTTGACAAATGTATGACTGGTGTGTATGGAGTCTGTTGCTCATTAACATAATATGTTAATTATCTTAAGTTTGGGGGTTGCCCAAACTTTTTCGTATGAAGAGCCAAAAACTAAACATCATTGAGAGCCGTGGGCCGAAAATACAGTTGAAAGTTGACGTTTTTTATACACTGTTTAAAAAGTACAACTTTCTGTCATAACTTATAGCAATAAACACATCAGGTTAATAACACAGAGGAGTTCAGTGGCGAATACACTGGCAGAACCTGGCTTTTCTCTGCATCATCCTCTATCCGTCAGGTGACCGCAGGTACATTTTAAACTAAATTACAGCATTTAAATCTAAACATTTAATCTCGGTTAGCCGTGTTTTTTGTAGTTAAACAATAAAATAAATCTCTAAACCATCGCATCGTTCTCCTCTCAGATGGGATGGTGGGCACATCAAAGCTTATCATGGAGCATCTGTGGCCTGCGGGTCTTAGTTTGGGCATCTCTGTTATAAATAAATGAAAACAGGCTAAAGTGCTAATGAAATCACTGTAAAGCCTTTATTACTCTTACTTTATTATGTGATGCTAAGCCAAGTCAATTGCAGCCATTTTGGATGATAAATCTAATAACTAAATGTTGTGTTTTACAGTAATATTGACTAATGAGGCAGTACTGTACAGTGGCACCTGTTAATCTTTATAAATCATCTGCAATTAAATCTGCTGATTAATAAACATTAATATATCGCTTTATTACATATTAGAATATTATTACCACAACTAGAAAAACTGCTCAGCGTACGAGTCTCAGATTAAGCAGACCTGCCGGGAAACGTGTGTTCATGTGGGTCAGCGTGTGTGTGGGGGGGTGGGTTCTCTCGGCTGCAGCACTCCTGCACTTATAGATCAACAATAATGAAACTTATGCAAATGAGCTGCTGATCATGTGACTCTGAAGAGGCGTGTCCTTCAGCTGAGAGGGAGAGACAGCCAAAAAGCCAAAAAGAGATATACGTGTGTGTGTTCAGTGCATGTCTGTAAGTGTGTAGTGTTTTTGTGTGCGAGTGTGTGTGTTTGTGTCTGCATCATATGAAAAGGAAGTGCACGCAAAAAGTGGGTCAAAGTGGGTCATAGTGCAAGTGTGTGTGTGTGTGTGTGTATATGTTATCTATTATTATCCACACCGCTGAGAGTCACAAAGACTCCAAGCAGCACCTTCATGTGTTTTCAGCTGTCTGAATAAGATGTTTCAACTTAAAATGAGCATAATCTGAGGCTGCGTCTCAACTCACACACTTCCCTACTGTATAGTGTGTGAAGAACAGTCTGTGAGTGAGTAGTGTCTGAAATCACAGTATTGTAGAAACAGTACGCGAGGAGTTCCCGTTTGCCCTACTACTTCCGGCAAAATTCTGAAGTGCGCATCTGATGAACGCTACGCTATCCCATAATGCACCATGAGAAAATTCAAGAATCTGAGTGAAACAAAGCCACTGACAGGGGTAGATTTACACTATATACACACACTACGTAGAACACACTTTTTGTTGTGTATTAAACTCAAACTCTACTGTAGTGCATACTCTAGTAGTAGGAGATTTCAGATATAACTGAATCTGCAGTTTATCTTCCGGCCACTGGGGGGCTGCTCCAACACTGAGCACATTTCCATTGACTTTAATGCTAAAATGTGCAACTGTACAGCAAAAAAACAAAACAAAGCATGTTACAATTTTTTCGGAGGGTGTATATAGCTAATATTACTCTTCACAACAACTGGGAGCGGGTGAATTTTTTATAACTCATCTATTTCATTTTTAATTAAGGGGGCGTGGCCACGAGAGTGATAGCAATTAAGAATTGTGAAATTTAACGATCTTCGGAGATGCGATAGAAACCTCACAGGTCCACACAGAATCTGTGCGCACATTTAGTCTGTGTTTACTTGTGTAAATGTGTGTAAATTTAAATTTATTCAGTTTTTAAACTAATTTCGTTAATATTATGGTAACATAATAATAATAATAATAATAATAATAATATTAAAACGTTTATAAAGTAATATTTCTGTCTTTTAGTAAATTTATTATTTGAGAGACTTGCTTTGTTTATCAAATAAATGGATCTAATTGGATTTGCATTGTAAACATTAAATAAAGATTACATTTTTATTATTTTATATATTAAGTTTTTAGTTATGATACTCCTAAAATCATTCCGCATAAATCCGCAGATTTTTAAAAACATTTTGGGCAGAAATAGCAAGAAATGTCTGCAGATTCTGTCCGGATATGACTCAATAATCATTTTATCTCGATTAATGTTTTTCGTAATTATTGAACGCTAAAATGGAAGCTGAATCTAGATGACCTGCACAGCCCTACGCAGCATCACTAGCGACAGTCTTACCGAGGATCATGACGACGGTCTTCATCAGGTTGACCACCGTCTCCTTGTGTTTGACCTGCGAGGTGTGCTGGCTCATGCGCTGGCTCTTGCGCCGCACGTAAATGAAGATGCGCGTGTAGACGGCCACCATCACGGTGAAGGTCAGCAGGTTGATGGCGGCCCAGAACACCAGATAGCTGCGGCTGTAGAGCGGCGCCATTGTGGAGCAGTTCCCGATGTCGCACATGCAGTTCCAGCCCATAGCGGGCACCAGACCCATGATGATGGCCACTGTCCAGATGCCCAGGATCAGCAGCACCACCCGATGGTTGGTCATCTTACTGTGCAGCTGCATGGTGAAGATGGTCTGGTGGCGCTCCAGCGCGATCGCCATCAGGTTAAAGACGGACGCCGTCAAGCTGGTGTCGATTAGACCCTGAACACCACAGAAGAAGAGCAGAGTCAACAACACTAGCATAGCATCAGCTGGTTTGTCTATAAGCTGACATTCGAGTGATACGCTTTTAAATCACTTCATAACCGAAACACATCTTTGTAGATGAAAGAGCCAGGTTCTCGGTAACCTTAAGACAAGCTCGATGCATCAGAAACGAATGTGGATTTCAATTACTTCTCGATTAATCGTCCAGCCCTAACATACAGATCGCTTTATTCTCCTGTAAATAAGGTTTAATAACAATAACCATGAAATCTCACAATTCTTAATGCTGAAGAAGAACAGGACAAAGTAAAAGACTAACAAGACCACCTCAAAACTGTAGAAATATGAGCACACTTTAAGCATCTTATGAGCAGGTCTTGCCCAGAATGCTTTGCAGGAAACAGGAAGCATGCAGCACTTCCTGTCTGTCAACCGCACTGATTTCGGCTGTGTCTGACAGGACGAACAGCAGCCCTCACTCCTCTTTATCTAGTCTTCATGGTTTTTCCTGATTTTCCAAAACAACTGAAGGAAATAAAAACTGCAGAGATCTAAAGTGTTGAAGCTCACTGGACCTACACACACTCACTGTTAATCTGCTGATGTAGGAGCGGCTCGGACCCCAGCTTTACAGTCGAACACACAGTCTGCTAAACAGAGGGTGTTATTTGACAATACTCCGTTTATTTTGTACTTCTTAAATCACAAGAAGCTTTCAGTCTTAGTCACATTTTATTCTGCTGGATGAACAGTAAACTGCACAATATAATCACAAAATTATCATTACTATCTCTAACAGCGTACGCAACACACACACACACACACACACACACACACACACACACACACACACACACACACACACACACATCACAGACGTGTGTGATAAAATACATTTATTTTATGCTTTGGTCGTTCATCTAAATTTGACCAATCAGATGGGGTCATGCTATATTTAGCTCCGCCTCCATAGTAACTAATGTTCTGCTATTGGCTGGTGCAGCTCAATGCTGTAGAAAATAAACACTACTGGCAGGAGAATGACAACAGCCAATCAGAGTCAGAATATTTGCATATCAGGTCTACACTCAGCTATAGTGTTTTAAAGACTACATGTTTGTAGTTTTTTAGTCTGAATTAAAGTTATTATTATCGGAAATTAATTTTTATCGGTTTATTGCAGTATCATTACATAAATGGTTTAAAGGACACCTATTCTGCCCCCTTGTGCAAGATGTATAATGCGTCTCTGCTGTGTCTCCAGTGTGTGTGTGTGTGTGTGTGTGAGTTTGAGCTGAGCACGCAGATAATGTTCTCCAGCTCTCTGAAGCTGACCCTTTCAGGCTTTGATGCTAATTGTGGTGTTTTGGCGACTGTCGCTTTAAATGCAAATGAGATTGTGCTCTTTTTCAAAAGAGGGCGGAGCTACAGACGCTAGTGTGTCAGTCTATGTTGCTCTCTGTTCATCTAGAACTCCACATCTATAATCCTCTTAGTCTATGCTGACATCATCTTCAGCAGCTCAAACACTCTATTAATGGATAATGGACAGACGGCTGCTTCTCACTCAGGCCTGCTGGACATGCTAATGAGATGGAGAGATGATGGGCACTAGTGGGCGGGGCTTTCCCCCTCTGATGACACGTACAAAGGGAGAATGTCAATCCCAGTGTTTCTGCATCAAGTCTGATTAGAACAAACACAGTTCAGTACTGCTGAGCACTAGAGGCGCTGGAGATACAAACACTGACAATTTTTTTTTTGCATAATTGGTGTACTTAAACATAATAAAAATGCACACAGACACTCAGAGTCGTACCTGCCGCACGAACCACTGGTATGTGGTGAGCTTGGCGGTCCAGGGCCCGGTGTGGAACATCAGATACATGTAGGACGTCCCGGCGAACAGATCTGCCGCCGCCAGGTTCCCCAGCAGGTAATAAATGGGGTAGTGAAAGCGGCGGTTCATGAAGATGGCCGCCATCACCAGGATGTTGGTGAAGATGACAAAAACACTGACCAGCAGCCCCATACCCACCACCGCCTTCGCTTTAGTCCCCCACGTATCGCTGATGTTCTTATGGCTGATGCTGTAGAAGAAAACCACGGTCTCGTTGTTGTAGCAAACCATGGTGGAGGAGAGGCGTCTGATTGGCTGAGCTGAAGGGGTCGGTGCTTCACGTCTCAGAGGTCAGTGATTGGATATGGAGTCTCGAGTCTGCTGGATCCCTCAGTCTGATCTACAAGGAGAATATCACACGTGGATTAATCACTGCTATTGAGCTTATTTTACACTTTTAAATATCACAAGAACCCGTCCAGGTCATGTCAAGAGAAAAGACATAATTATTCGCACACGGCACACTTTTTCAGCATTAAGATATGTTTTATTATTTTAAAGGCTTAATAAATTGGTCCATATTGGCTTGAAATGTAAACATCGGCAACGGCATGATATGGAATGTTGTGCTGATATAGAAAATATATCAATATAGCATTTATCTGTGTCATAATATCACACGACTGATCAAATTTAAAAATAGTAGAACCTACAGCTTACGGGGAGTGAAATGAAAAAATAAATAAATAAAAAGTTTAGGAGTGCTGCTTTTTAAATTATGACAAAAATCCATGCAATCAATCTGGCCAATCACAGGCAGGCAAACAGCAGCTCCAGCTCATCTCAACCAATCACAGACAGGCAAACAGCAGCTCTAGTGCATCTCCGCCAATTACAGACAGGCAAACAGCAGCTCCAGATCATCTCGACCAACCACAGACAGGCAAACAGCAGCTCTAGTGCATCTCCGCCAATCACAGACAGGCAAAGAGCAGCTCCAGCTCATCTGGACCAATCACAGACAGGCAAACAGCACCTCTAGTGCATCTCGACCAATCACAGACAGGCAAAGAGCAGCTCCAGCTCATCTCGACCAATCACAGACAGGCAAACAGCAGCTCTAGTGCATCTCCGCCAATCACAGACAGGCAAAGAGCAGCTCCAGCTCATCTGGACCAATCACAGACAGGCAAACAGCACCTCTAGTGCATCTCGACCAATCACAGACAGGCAAACAGCAGCTCCAGTGCATCTCAACCAATCACAGACAGGCAAACAGCAGCTCCAGCTCATCTCGACCAATCACAGACAGGCAAACAGCAGGTCTAGTGCATCTCGACCAATCACAGACAGGCAAACAGCAGCTCCAGCTCATCTCGACCAATAACAGACAGGCAAACAGCACCTCTAGCTCATCTCGACCAATCACAGACAGGCAAACAGCAGGTCTAGTGCATCTCGACCAATCACAGACAGGCAAACAGCAGCTCCAGCTCATCTCGACCAATCACAGACAGGCAAACAGCAGCTCTAGTGCATCTCCGCCAATCACAGACAGGCAAAGAGCAGCTCCAGCTCATCTGGACCAATCACAGACAGGCAAACAGCACCTCTAGTGCATCTCGACCAATCACAGACAGGCAAAGAGCAGCTCCAGCTCATCTCGACCAATCACAGACAGGCAAACAGCAGCTCTAGTGCATCTCCGCCAATCACAGACAGGCAAAGAGCAGCTCCAGCTCATCTCGACCAATCACAGACAGGCAAACAGCAGCTATAGTGCATCTCCGCCAATCACAGACAGGCAAAGAGCAGCTATAGTGCATCTCCGCCAATCACAGACAGGCAAAGAGCAGCTCCAGCTCATCTGGACCAATCACAGACAGGCAAACAGCAGCTCCAGTGCATCTCGACCAATCACAGACAGGCAAAGAGCAGCTCCAGCTCATCTCGACCAATCACAGACAGGCAAACAGCAGCTCTAGTGCATCTCCGCCAATCACAGACAGGCAAAGAGCAGCTCCAGCTCATCTCGACCAATCACAGACAGGCAAACAGCAGCTATAGTGCATCTCCGCCAATCACAGACAGGCAAAGAGCAGCTATAGTGCATCTCCGCCAATCACAGACAGGCAAAGAGCAGCTCCAGCTCATCTGGACCAATCACAGACAGGCAAACAGCAGCTCCAGTGCATCTCAACCAATCACAGACAGGCAAACAGCAGCTCCAGCTCATCTCGACCAATCACAGACAGGCAAACAGCAGGTCTAGTGCATCTCGACCAATCACAGACAGGCAAACAGCAGCTCCAGCTCATCTCGACCAATAACAGACAGGCAAACAGCACCTCTAGCTCATCTCGACCAATCACAGACAGGCAAACAGCAGGTCTAGTGCATCTCGACCAATCACAGACAGGCAAACAGCAGCTCCAGCTCATCTCGACCAATCACAGACAGGCAAACAGCAGCTCTAGTGCATCTCGACCAATCACAGACAGGCAAACAGCAGCTCTAGTGCAACTCAACCAATCACAGCCTGACGAGCAGCTCATCTGCAAGCTGACTGGACGACCCAGCTGTTAATCACCCCGGAAATGAGATATTAGAGCAGTAACTCCACACAAACGCAGATTATCATCAGTCTTGTGTTGCAATCATGCATGAGTCGAGACAACTGCTCAAAGCCTCTGAGACAACACAACAGCAGCACAAACCAACAACACCCTCAATCTGTCTGCTATACTTCATGTTTTCATGAATAAAGATGACTATTAACAGCCACTAAAAACAAAGTTTAACAATAGTTTATGCGAATAGTCAATTATATATATATATATATATATATATATATAATTTAATTTGTCCCATTTAACTTTTTAACAATAATTCTACATATCTTCAATAAGCAGAGCTCAGACTGAACATGTGGTCTAATCTGGATATAAGTTTATTTAACGTTGAATAAAAATGCAGATTTCATTCATATTTGATCAATAATTAGACTAAAGTCATTAAATAATGAATTATTCATGCATCGAATACACTTTCTGTGCGTATAAAACCAGGTTACACAACTTTATTAAACACAAGCGCTAAAGCACAGTCACTGATGTAGAAATGCTGCCAGCTTCCTGGACTACCTTCATGACGAACAAGTTACTACAAGCTAAAACACTATAAAACACAAGCAAACAGCTGTGTGACTATTTAAAGACCGAAACAACTCTGAACAAAACTTCTGTGAATATCCTGAAAGCAAAACAATCTCATTAGAACACACTTGAAGGGTCAGTTCCCACAAAAATGACATTTACTCACGGTTTACTCTCCATTACACGGTAATAAACCTTATTTCTTCCTTCTGTTGAACAGTACACTGTGATACACTATGGAGGTCAGCAGTTACAGGCTTGCAACATTCTTCAAAATATCTCCTTCAGTGTTCAACAGAATACAGACACTCATAAAGGTTTGTAAGTGAGCAATTAAGTAAAGGATGAGTAAATAATAATGACAGAATCTGCATGTATTGCTGAACTGTCTCTTTAAGAGAGGAATACATTCACTCGTTTCCTTCAGCTTAGTCACTTATTCATCAGGGGTCGCCACAGCGGAATGAACTGACAACTATTTTAGCATATGTTTTACACAGTGGATGCCCTTCCAGCTGCAACCCAGTACTGGGAAACACCCAAAAACACAGACACACTCATACACTACGGCCAGTGTAGTTGATCAGTTCCCCTATAGCGCATGTGTTTGGACTGTGGGGGAAACCGGAGCACCCGGAGGAAACCCACACCAACACGGGGAGAACATGCAAACTCCACACAGAAACACCAACTGACCCAGCCGGGACTCAAACCAGCAGCCTTCAAGCTGTGAGGCCACACTGAGGAATACAGTGGACAGTCAACTGATTTGCTTCTATGGTGTTTTCCACAATACTGATCTGTGTGTCAGTGTGTGATGGTGAGATCTGGTATTTACACCACACACACACACGCGCGCTTATTTATATACCGCAATAGACACGTCAGCTAGCTGTGACTGACAGTAGAGCAGCGCAGCTTCACCACAGTTCAGTCCTAATCAAACACAGCTCGGCTCTACTGAAGAGCAGATGCAGAGGAGCCACAGTGAACACTCGACTCGGGTTTACTTGAACAGCGCTTTCACAATCATCATCCTCCCACGATCTGGATATGAGAAAATTATGTAGCTTCAACAAAGATGAATGATATTTTTCACAACATTTGAAGCGGATCATATAAGGAATGGGTGCTGTTGAATAGTTTTAGGACATCTTTGAATCGCTGTCTATTATTAAGTATCTGTAATAAATCTACCTGTTCAGTTTGGCTTTTCAATATTACATTATTGTTATATTAGTGTTGTTGATTGCTTTATTTCTCTACATGTTCTGATAATTGTCTCTATATCTTCCTCAGGGCCGGATTAAGAACTCAGGGGCCCCTGGGCACATTGTCTTGTAAGGCCCCCTACCTGGCCGCACCCCTATAGTTGAATTAAAAAAATAAGAATAATAAATAAATTTTTTAAATATAATGAATCTATAATTTGTTGCCCACATATTCAAATAATTATATATAGTACATATGTATTTATAGTCTACAAAGATTTAACTTATTTTTCAAAGTATTGAATAAAAATACTAATAAAACTAGTATTTATAAAACTATAATATATATATATATATATATATATATATATATATATATATATATATATATATATATATATATATATATATATATATATATATATATATATATATATATATATATAAATA